GATGGATGGATGGATAGAGGGAGGGAGGGATGAATGGATGGATGGATGGATGGATGGATGGGACTGACCGACCAACCAACCAACCACCTTATTTCTGCTCACCTGGCTGCCTGCCTGAATAACTGACAAACTGACTCCCCCTTTCATAACCTATCCTTTCATTGCCTAGCTCATTTGTTTATATATCAATCTGTCTTTTCATTCTTTCCTTCCTTTATTTTTGCACACCCTATCAGCACTCGAAATTACACCCCAGTCAACAGACAACACACTATCAGTCTGATGTGGCCAGTCATCTTGTCCAGCCATTAACCAGCCATTTTCTAGCCCTAACCATCACTATTACCTGGTCACTCCAACCATTCTTCCAGGTACCATTCTTTTCAAATTGCCTATGTCACGGATGGCAAAAAATCCTGCATGTGGACCTCCATAACCTATCAAAAATAGTTTAATATAAAATATTTTTTGTCAGACTTTGGATATCATCTTTTTGAAAAATTTAAACTAAAAAAAAAATTTCTGAGTAAAAGAAAAGGCTCTATTCAGTGGCCACCAGGGCAGGAAACAACAGTTGATCTGTCGCCAGTTATGATGGCCGGCCAAATTAGGTTTGACTTGGTCATACCTGGTTTCTGGCTCAACATCAATGGTCAAAATTAACAACAAGACAAAGATTTGACCGAGCAAGGCAAGTTCCAATGCTACCTGGACATTTTCAGATTACTTGCTGTTATTTAATACTTGGCACAGGTTACGTACCCTTGTTTAAAATATCCTCTCCAATCATTTTGTTGCATGATACTTACCAAGCGAAACTCCAAATCTTTGAGTTGACCCTACAGCAATATCACAACCAAATTCCCCTGGGGGTCTGAGAATAGTCAAAGCTAAAAGATCTGTTGCACAGACTGCAAGAGCCTATAAACAAAAACCAGCGTAAAATCATTGAATTAATATTACAATTTTATAAAATCAATCCTCTAAAAATTAACTACCACAACTACTGTCGCCAGTTTAGTTCAGTTGCTAAGAGTACATTTGGTCTATTGAGCCAGAGGTCACGGTGATAATAACCCAGAATGATGAATGCAGCCTTAGAGTTGTGATTTAGAGTAATGAATATATAAAAAATAAAAACTACTTTTACTGCTTCGAGTCATAACTGCAAACTTGTATGGCAGTGACACAGCTCAAGGCATTTCATTTCATTCCATTCATCTTAGAGATATATAAATATGGATAAGTTATAGTGCTTGGGAACAAGGTTATTCCGGGCGAAAGCCCTTGGAATTTAATTCGGAAAAATTAATTTCCGACCTCGCTGGGAATTGAACCCACGACCTTCGGAAATTAATTTTTCCCAATTTAATTCCAAGGGCTTTCGCCCGGAATAGCCTCGTTCCCAAGCACTATAACTTATCCATATTTCTATATCTCCATGTATTTCATTAGTGCCATGCGGTCCACATATTCTCATCTTTCCATTCATCTTATTTCATTCATTTTATTTTATTTATATAACAAAACACTATACAACAGCTACCAAAGATGGCTTCATATGCTAATGCTTTCAATAGCTGTTATCTTAATTGAGCATGCCAACCCAACAAACCAATGGTATTGTGATGTGCATAGCTTCAAAACAAGACTATCAGGTAGAATTTCAGATAATTTGTTAAGAAATTTCCTACAAATCTTCAAGTGATCACAACATTTTGATAGACATCTTTGTTATACAAAGTATTTTGTCTTCTTTCTAACTTTGATCAAACACTATATAGCTTTTGGATATATGAACAGTAGTTTCAATACTTTGTATATCAAAGATATCTACAGTAAATTCCTTAGTGTACTCTTCAAAGCTCAACCCGATTTTTGATGCTGGTTTTGATGCTACGCTCATAGAAATACCGCTGGTTTGTTGGAGTGACATGCTCAACTGCGATAAGAGCTACAGTTGATCCTATATTTAGCTGTGCCACTGAGCTGCACAAGTTTGCAGTTATGACTAGCAATAAACAATAAACAAATAAAGCAATAAACTTACACTGATTATTTTTTGTGTCACTGACCTTTCCTGCATGCGCTTTTTCCACCAACCCAGAAAAATCATCAATCATTCCATAGGTATCAGGATACTGGAACAATACACCACTGACGTCTTGTCCAGAGAAGTCAAAACTATTTTTATCACCAATGATAATTTCAATGCCATTTCCATCTGGGCCTAACGTCCTATGAACAAAAAGAACTCATACTTAATACCCCATGTAAGATGACATCCTCATTTTGTAATTCTTATTTAATATTAACTAATATCTCAGCAAAGAGAAGGTATTTCAAAGAAAAGTAAACCATTCTTTTATTTCATTTTATGAAGGCTTTCAAATTATGAAGGCATTGAGTATTTGCACTTTTATCAGAATATAAGTTTCACAAATTTTCTGAATCAGGCCACTTTAATCTGTTTAGAACATCGGCTTAAATCAGTTACTAAATTACATATAGGACTTCATTCTCTGTGTACTCTGTTCAAAAGCTAGGCATAGAGCTCTTGCATATTACTAAATTACTACATGTATATATATACTGAACATACTTGGCTCTTGTTTCCACGACAGCAATGACTTGAGGATGACAGTTACGATCTACAAAAAACTTGGGCTTTTTATTAGCTCTGAAAAATGAAGGGACAAGAAAAAAGAAGGAATGATATTTTCTATAATAACTATAGATAAAAAATAATTAATCTCCAGCTATCATATCCTATTAACCTCTGGGCTGCCAATATCTGTTATAATAATCTATGTGATCTACATCCTTAGCATGTCTAACAGCCACAATTACAATTTGAGGCATGCTAGGTCTTGTTGCGGGAGGAAAACTGGTCGAGAACCTGCCTGGCTAAAAACCCTCACACCAAGTCATGGAGAGAACCAACAAACTTTATTCACATGTGACGCCAAGTCCAGGAATCAAATCTAAGACTCTAGAGGTCAGGTATGTGGTGCACTAGCTACTCTCAATGACACCACTCTCAACTAGACCCCTTTTTTATTATTACCTGTATGCAAGAGCCATTGCTTCAGCAGCTGCAGTTGCCTCATCCAGGAGTGATGCATTAGCAATGTCCAGTGCTGTAAGGTCACTGACCATTGTTTGAAAATTCAGTAATGATTCCAGACGTCCTTGAGCCAGCTCAGGTTGATAAGGGGTGTAAGGTGTAGTCCTAAAAATTGAGATTCTTGCAAATGATTTAAGTTGTCTATATTTTGGTAGTGTATAAACTGCAATCAGAAGGGGGGGGGGGAGGGGGAAGCATATCTGGATGGACCCTGAAACAATCTCTGGGCTGATCAAAGTTAGGGCATGGCTAACTCACAGATTGAACCCTGAAACAACCTCTGGGCTGGTCAAAGTCAGGGCACGGATAATTAATAACTCACAGGTTGAACCCTGAAACAACCTTTGGACTGATCTAAGTCAGGGAACGGATAACTCACAATCTCTGGGCTAATTAAAGTTAGGGCATGGCTAACTCACAGATTGAACCCCAAAACAACCTCTGGGCTGGTCAAAGTCAGGGCACGGATAATTACTCACAGGTTGAACACAGAAACAACTGCTGGGCTGAAGAAGGTCAGGGTAGGGACTATCTTGATCACATGAATATTTGAATTTAAACTTGAGTTAGCATGTTGGCATGGGTTTTGTGGAGGGAGAAGAAAACAAAGAACCTGGACAAAAACTCTCAAATAAGGAAAGACACTTAAAAAACCTGGCACGGGATGGTAATTATAAGTCCATAGATAGGCCCTTTGCAGCTCAGTAACTATGTGTGAATTCATTCACTGAGAGCAAATGAATGAACATTTTGATTCCCATGTGAGAAAATTACTGGAGAGCAAACACACTCTCTACAGCCTGTTTTGAATAGGACGTTTGCATGATGGCGTCATTTGACTCCCACTACCATAATGCTTCACGAATTTTCTTTCTTATTCAAATTTGTATTTCCCTCATGAGAATAGTAAGACAATTGGTGCTAATTAACTGAATAAAAGAAAGTGTGCAAGGGAGTCTGGTAGTAGAGGTCAGTGACGCCATCATGCAAACGTCCTATTGTAATAAAAATGCATTTCGTAACACGCTGGTAACACATCGTTACATTCAATTCTTTACAAGTAGCTAAAAGAATCGCCAGTTTAGAATAAAAACAAAAATTTTGCTCTCCAGTACAGATACATGTACTTGAGCTACCACACATGATCGTTAACTACGAAGGGCCTATTGAACTCAAACCCCAGAATTAAGGTAAGTGCACCACCCCTATATATATAACACCTTTGATTCCTGGAAAAAAATTTAATAATGTACATACCATCCTGGATTTTCCAGTATATTTCTGAGGATGGTGGTAGGAACGTGGCAGTTGTAATAACCCATTCCAATATATGAACGCCATATTTGATTGCCTTTGGAGATTTCACGAAGTTTAACCAACAGGTCTGGTTCACCTTAAAAAAATAATGTGGCTTTTTATTGAGCATAATTTGTTCACTAAAATATATATGATACACAAAGTGCCTATATTATCCGAGTTAAGCACAGGTAGAATAGTGGTGGCCTCTCACCAAGGGTATACCCTGCAGGTTTAATTCCCTGAATCTTAATTTCAAAAAAATTCCATACAAATCCTTACTTTGAATTTTAACTTAAATAATCTTAAATTTGAATTTCATATTCAAATTCAATTTATTTCTCCTATTTCTCAATCTCATGAGCTTAAAATGCCTATATTTTTTTATCAGGGTCCCCTATACCCCCTCGCAAAATGCATTCACGTAAAATTATTTGGCCAATTCCCCCTTACCTCCCTGGCCAAGCACATGCTGGTTAACCAGTTAATGAGTTAACATGGACTAACATGGACAGCCAACGATTACCTTTCTATAACTCGATCACTGCTGGCAGTTAGGAGATGTCAGAAGTGTCCAGGAAAAGTTAATACATTAATATCACTTCATTGTTACTTGGCCAAATAATTTTACATCAACGAATTTTGCGAGGGGGTATAGAAGACCCCTTAGAGGTCAAACCACATATGCTGATAGCCATTGATGTGCTCATGTCAATTAAAGTTGTCAAATGCCCTTTTCAAAAGCCAATCAGGTCATGTGTACGGGAAAGCATCACAAAAGAACGGAAATAGTGAAATCATGACTGTAATTTAAGTGACAGCCAGAATACAATAAGAATAGTATTGAATTGTCATCGCAAAATGAGCAAACAGATGTCACGAAAAATAACGACATTCCTGAATCATGTGAAATAACTGTTTCCATTCCCGAATCACACATAAAGGGGGAGGTGGATTCACGCGGACACAAAAATATTGAATCCCGAATCACGCATAAAAAAATGCTCAATTCCTGTTTCCCGTAAAAAAAATTAGGCCAATCCCGCAAAAGGTATAGGGGACCCTGTTTTATGCCACCTAACTCAATATTTTCACTATTAATTTTACAAAAGTGAATATTTGAATGGTAAAAAAAATTCATATGATTCGAGTGATGCATCTTGGAGATATCAAGGTTTATATTTCCAATATGCTAATGAGTGATGTCACTTAATAGGTATGATTAAATATACAAAACTTTTCTGGGGCAGCAAAATATCCTATATAAAACATCATGTTCTTACTCAGGGTTTATAGAAAATTAATAGCACATTTGTTAATTCTCATAGTAATCAGCGTTGCAATTCAAAAACGATGAGAACCAAACTCAAATTCCTGTAATGACATCACGCTCATTAACATATTGGAAGTATAAACCTTGATATCTTCAAGATGCACCACTCGAATCATATGAAATTCTTTTACAATTCAACTATTCACTTCATGTAGAATACTGAAAATATTAAGTTAGGTAGTATAGGCACTTTAAACTTAGCTCCCTTACCAAACAACACGTAATAACTTCCATGTTTAGGGTAAGGTCTTTACAAGTTTAAACTGAACAAACTACAGTGAATGCAAAGCTCTCGAGGAGGTATGCTTATAACAATAGAGCTTACACTATAGGAGCCTTCCACAGATATGCTTATTTTGGATTATTCTTTGTTGAAAATAAGGTGAACAAAACTCGGAAAGTCTCGCAAAAACTTTGCAGGATTTTAAGATTGAAAGTGACTCATATATAGATTTCATATTTCCATGATAAAGGACATTTTTTTAGGAAGTCTTCTTAATTTCTAAATGGTTTGTGATATAGTAATATGCTACAGGAAGTATGTGCTCGTGGGAGAGGGAATTCTTTTGCAGACTATAGCTAGCTTACTAGGTGGCCATTATATTAATTTAATTAGACAATAATAAAAAAAAAAGTCCGACAAAGGACTAGCGTCTGAAACGTCAGTTTTTTTCATCTTTTCGCGGTGTATGATTTACCTTTTCATCATTACTGTTTTGTTAGAAACAGCGACGCAGCTCACACTAGTTTTTAGCTAGTTATCTCTTCATTTAATTAGACTTTATTTTTTTCGATTCAAAACTATGTGGCAGCAATCAAAACAATATCCACCTCCTTGAAGACTGCATGCTGTGTTCCACCCCTTTTCCTCTAGCAGGTAATTATGATGGTTCGTGACGACTCACACACAATTTATTCATTATTTACATGAAATAGAACTTTCCAGAACTGGAATGCATGGGAGGGGTACGACTAACAATGGTTTCAAGTTGAGGTTGGACTGGATAAATTAATGTAAAGTATGAATACATCAAGTCTGATCTTGATTGCTGCCATTGCTTTGCGCAAATTTCAAAAAGGTCTGCTAAGGTAAAACAAATTCAGCAGGTGTACATAATCCGTTTAAACATTATTCAAGCATTCAAAATTTATGCTAGAGCTTTGCCTTAATGCTTCAAACATCTGTATCAACAAATCACATTAGATGCTACTGCATAAAATATCATCATAAATTAAAGAAGATTGATTATTTACTTAATGGTTGATCCAGTTTGAGTTCCTCTCTGTGTCTTATACCAGCAGGCACTGTCTTTTCTATCAATTCTTCCATATTCTGCAATATGGAGACAAACAAACAAACAAACAAACAGTTAAAACAAGATACCATATAACCCTTAACCAAAGAAATTGCTACGCATGGTACTTCTCCTAACACTTCTCTCGTGTTCTGCCAACCCCTACGTGTTTTATGACTGCACACGGCAGCACGCGAGCGCGTTTCCTATTTCTTCAACAGGCTAATAAATAAAGGTATTCAGTAATAAGTTAGAAAACAACAAGATACCAAACTTGAAATATATCATTCAAAATCTCAGACATCATAAACAATGAAAACCAATGAAGGATCCAAAGCTAAGTGGCATTTGACATACACTTACCTCAAGCTCCATTTCTTTAAGCATTTCTTTCTGTTCTTCTTCGCTTGGTCCAATATGGCGGCTGATAAAAGCATCAGAACTTGGAGCAATCTGACTGATGTCGAACCTCGTTACAGCAGAGGAAAAACTTCTAAGAACAAGTCTAAGAGACTGAGAAGGAACAATCCTTTTTGTTTGCCATTGATGGCTTGAGAATCCTTGTCTTACGACGTAGCGAGTAATTCTTGCTGCATTGGAATACATTTTAAAACGATCCAAGCTAGTTAAACCTCTAATCCAAACAAATCTACGACAAAACTACCTTAAAGAAATGGGGGAAGAGAAGGACTACAATCCACTCAAAGCCTGACCTAAAAACAACAAAATCTTCAACAAAAAATCTCTTCCTAAATATTAAAACCCCTTAAGACTAAAATCGAATCTTATAAATATCTAGATCACCATCTTCCAGGTTCTGAGTCGTAGAAAAGTCTAGTCACATGAGCTGCTTGTACAGTTAAGATAATATTCACCCCATTCTACAAATATGGGACAAAATTTATTCAAACTTTACAAATATGGTAGATACCATGATGCTCTGTTATTCCCGCAGGGGGCGTGCTCTGATTGGCTTAACTGTTTGTTGTTATTTTTTCCCGCTATAGAGTACCGAACTGTGATGTCACGAAAAACAAAATTTTGCTTTTGACAATTTTCGATCCCCAATTTCGATAGAACATCAAGAAAGACGTTCAACAAGCTAAATTTTAAGAATATCGGTTAAAAAGAAACGGAGATATGACCGTTTGACAAATCACTGTAATCATTACGTAATGAACCAGGGCAAAAATACACCGAGACTTGTATGGGGGAGATTAAATATTCAAACGGCTGTATCTATGCTAGCCCAAACGTGACAAAACTTCAAGTTGCATTTTTTCATGATCAAGCAGTACTTTTTATACATCAAGTTGATTTTCAATACACCAAGACCCTTTTGTCCTATGTCTAGTCATTTGTTTCGCTTGTCTAGTCATTTGTTTTTGATATCAAGCGCAATGTTTAAGTTGACAAGCAGCCATCGCAATCAAAAGTCATTTAGGTCTTTGCGATTTGCATACAAAAGGGAACGCTAGAAGCACTCAGGAGAAGATTGATTTCGATCAGCTTGCGATCGATGAACGCGCTAGGTCTGGAAGCTAGTTGCAGCTAGTTAGAGAACACCCCAAAAAAATCCGACTGAGCAAATTTGAGCAAGATTGGATTTTTGACATCTCAAATGTTGCTAGTCTACATTTGAGATGTCAAAAAACCAATCTTGATTTTTTTGGGGTGTTCTCTAACACCAATAAAATTGTTTTATTGGCTAAAAACAAGGATAAACAAGCCTAAATTTACCTTTAAAAGATCTTTTTGTCAGCCGAACTTCCTCCACAAACGGTCCGCCATTGTTGACAGGCAGAGTAGTGCCCATGCCCGTTTCAACGCCCTCCCTCCTCCCGCCCTGCAACTACGGCTTCCAGACCTAGCGCGTTCATCGATCGCAAGCTGATCGAAATCAATCTTCTCCTGAGAGCTTCTAGCGTTCCCCTTTGTATGCAAATCGCAAAGACCTAAATGACTTTTGATTGCGATGGCTGCTTGTCAACTTAAACATTGCGCTTGATATCAAAAACAAATGACTAGACAAGCGAAACAAATGACTAGACATAGAACACAAGGGTCTTGGTGTAATGAAAATCAACTTGATGTATAAAAGTACTGCTTGATCATGAAAAAATGCAATTTGAAGTATCGTCACGTTTGGGCTAGCATATGTATCTCTGTTGCYATTCAACCAATTCTCCTGAAATTTGGCGTGTTAGCGTCTTTCTTGATTTCTATCGAAATCGAGGATCGAAATTATATGATACAGTGAAAATAATATTTTGTGACGTCATCACTTCGGTACTAACACAAGATTATTGATGCAACACTCGAAATGCAATAAGAAATAATATTTACCAACGAACTGCCAACGAAGTTTGGCAAATATAGAGGGGTTTTGAGTTTGTTACAGAACTGCGTCATGTCTTTTGTTCTAAGCAGGTTTTCTTAGAGTACACTTAGAGCCCATAAAAGGTAGTGTGCATTGTTTTGGTACTGGTTTTGAGAAACCTGTTTTACAGAGCGACTACATCAACCTATCAACAAAAGGCCACCCAAACAAATTTTACAGTCAAACTTCCTAATGAAATTCAAGAATCCAAAAATGAAGTCATTAATGACCTCTACGTGTTCACGCTTGAGGTGGTTTGACTGTAAATCAAATTCACAAATTCAGTACATTTTTAACGCTGCATAAAAGACGAATTAGTGGATTTTGGATTTGAAACTGTTTCTTGTTCACTTCTGATCATACACACACTCGTATAAAATAAAATATATGATTTTGAAGAGGAAAATGTGAAAATTTGTACAGATTCTATGGTTAAATTAAATTCTAAATCGTGGTTGGCTAGTTTGTATGAAAATTTGTCTGGGTGGCCTTGGTTGGTGAAGTCGTGCATTTCCTTATTTTTAAAACACTCCCTTTCAATTTCTCAATTTCTCTTTTACTGTAATATTACAGACCAGGGCCTTCGTTGGCAAATTCAGATTCCCTTATAATAAAGAACAAACACTAGGTATCGATCCCGTTAATGATAAGTATGACTACTATAGCATTTCGTGATTCGGCAGGTGACAAACAATTTTTTGACACATGACTGACAAGTTCGCGACCTCACCGGATATTTTAGAAAAAGGAATTTGTGGCCAATGGCTTTTCATTCAAACCTATCCGCCCGTGAACACGCAACTGCGAGAAAGGAGACTCTGCTCGCAAGGTAATTTCTAGCTTGCATGCATACGCTCTTTTAGACAGACTTGACAGTGAAAAGACTGGATGCGAGCAGGCAAAAAGGGCCGGGCGAAACTGAAATTCTAAAACGCTACGTAAGGGCAATACATGATAGTCCAGTTTCGAGTTCCAAATTACCACTGTGTTTCTTGATTACAGACTCATTTATTCAGGCTTATCTTCGAATCAGTGTCTAATTACTCGCAAATACCAACGGTAAAGTAAAGAATGCACAACTTCAACGATACGAGCACTTTGAAACTTGACGGTCCTTGACTGGAACAAGTGGATATTCTTAACAAAATCGAGGCTAAGCCTGAGCAAATGAGTCTGTAATCAAGAAACACAGTGATAAACAATTTGATATCCGTGTGGCCGGGTGCTCACGAGAATCACTGAAAGTCCGTGATTACCTAGCCTGCGTCGCGTTACGAAGAAAATTCCGGTGACGCAGGCTATGATTACCAACGCCCGCCTTCTTATAAATTTAGGCTCACCTTTCACCGAGGCTGGGAAAGGGGGCGGTTTCCCGGTACCCTAGGACCCACACCTAGATACGCCTTTGACTGTATTCCAAAACGAAATGGTCAATGCAGCCGTCTGTTAGAAAAGAACCTACTTCTGACGGATACTGTACTTGTTGAGTTTACAAAAAAAATATTACAGTCAAAACTCTCCTCGATTCCATTAATGGTATTATTATTCGAATTCTAAATTTATTATTTTTTCTGAGAATACGAAAACTCAGGATTCAAAATAATAACTGATTCAAAACTCAAATTCTGATTGGATTATGGTGTTCCTTATATGGAATAATTCATTCAGAATTCGAGTTTTGAACCGGTTACGTTATTATTAGGCGTTTTGACTGTAATATTAAAGCTAAATAATGATAACGGTAATCTGATGATAATAAGACGTTCTCTCAAAATATTCGTTCATTTATTTCTGTTTCACTGATACGATAGAGGGCCGTAATCAGAGGTCTTGCTGGGTGGATGCACTGGAAATGGAAATAAAACTATATCTTAAACTAACAGCCATCTTGAAAAGTGATATAGCATTGCAAGGATTTTCAGAACCAGAAAAAAAAAACCGATCGATCCAAAAACCAGCCTAGGCTGATTTGCAGAAGCAAATAAAAATAATAATTAAAAAAAAAAAACACACACAAACTTAGCCATCTTGAAAAGTGATATAGCATTCCAAGGTTTTGCAGAACCAGGAAAAAACCAACCTAGACTAAAGAAGCAAAGCAAAAAATAATAAATAAATAAACACGCAATAAACTAATTAATAAAGTGCTGCAATTGCCAGATGGAAAAAGGAAAAAACCCACCTATTTAGCCTATATACACCTATTTAGAGACCAATTATTGATTTTCCTAGCCAGCGTTGCTCGCGGGTGGTCTGTGGTGCTGCGAAAAGCAGAGGAAGGGCAAGCGGTCTTTCCCTCGGCTCTATTGGTCAAGCGCGTCCCTTCCCAATAGAATATGTATGAAAGGGAAAAAGACGCGGCCACCATGTTGGTTAGTATAACCAAAGACCAATCTGCTTCAGACAAGTTCATGTTCTAGTGGAATACAATGTATTGATGGTTTTCAACCATTCCCAAGGGAATTAAATAACAAAAGACACGGCGGCCATGTTGGAGGATATAACAAAATAATTCATTGACAATTCTTTTGTTAAGTACCTCCAACATGGCCGCCGTGAAAACCATCAATAGTAGAGTAGTGTATTTTTTCATATTGTATGCATTGTCTTGTCTTGTATATTGTCGTTCTATGTTTTTCTAGAACATGAACGAACTACCACAAATCTTTTGTCAAAGTCAACCAAAATGGCGGCTATGACGTCACATGAACTCCAAGAATTAATTGATTTGTGAAACAGGATAAACAGGTCTCGTTCGCTTAAAATCCGCTGTGTCCAGAATACAGATACTTTCTTCTTTCACTACATGTAGTGGTCTCAAAACCCATTCCTCTTTGCAACCCTCGTCATCACTTTCCTCAGGTAGCCCATCTTGTAGATTTTCTTTCAAACCATCAGTGATGTTACTACCGTAAACCTCGGAGTCTCCAGACCCTACGATCTGTAACACAGTAAAATAACATGTTATGATGCATCGTTCATTTACATTCGTTTGGTAGTTGAGATATTTTGACTAGGTGTTGGTCCTGAATTGACATAGCAATAATGGACTACTTCGACGATATGGCGGCCATCTTGGATCGAAAGGCATTATGGGGCGTCCAGGGGGCAAATAAAGCTTTGTTACAGTAATGATGTCGATTGATATTAACAGCTCACCACAATAGAATACAACAAAAGTTGAATTAAGACGGCACATCGATGCCAATGCCCAATGCCAGACAGAACTCTTGACAAAAGCGTATGTCCGGTGCACCGCAGGAAATCTTTCAGTGCGTGTCATTTACACAAAACAGAGGGTTCCCGTATCGACTAATGTACTTGATACTACAATGTGTCTAGCCTCCTCCGCAGGCTACTCGCTTGGGTTTTTGTTGTGATTCGAGAGGGATGGGTTTCCCGTGGTAAAAACGAGGGAGACTAAGGAGTTCCGTTCGGTCTATGCACAGATAACACAGGAATTCCAGTATACGAAAAGAGAGAAAAAAAGGCAAAGAGATGCCTGCGGACTGCGGAGGCTATAGTGTATGTCTACTTAAGTGAATAGAAAATCAAGAAGAGTGTTGTAATCGTACCTGGATGCTTAGTTTTTTGTACTTGTCGCCATTTTTCATGTGACTTTTATAACACTGTATGACATCTTCCTTTGTTAGTTTCCTCAATGCTTCGATCTGTGTAAAACAAAGGTTTTGAAAAAGTTATGACGGTAATGGTGATGATGATGACGGTGGAGATCACGGTATAGGCAATGATGATGGTGATGGTGATAATGGAAAGATTGTGGTAGTGGTGGTGGTGCATGTGATAGTGATGATGATGTTACTGGTGTAGGTGAAGATTAAATGAAGATTATGGCGATTATGGTGCAGGTGATGATGATTATGATGAAAGTTTTGAAGATACAGCTATGTCAAAAACCGTTGGTGAAGCTTTTGTTGCATGTTGCATGTGCATGCTACATGTTGCTCGTTACATGTTGCATGTTGCATGTTGCTTGTTACATGTTGCATGTGCATGCTACATGTTGCTTGTTACATGTTGCATGTTGCTTGTTGTATGTTGCTTGCTGCATGTACAAGTTGCATATGCATGCTACATGTTGCTTGTTACATGTTGCTTGTTTCATGTTGCTCGTTACATGTT